TTCCAAATCCTCTCCCTCTGCCCTCCCCCACCCATTGAGAAGGCAACACAAATGAAACCATTACAAATATGTATACACATGCAAAACAGATTTCTGTATGAGCCATGTTCCAAAGGGGGGAAAAGGCAAGAAAATGCAAGAAATAGAAGAAAACATACTTCAATCTGCCCTTTGAATCAGTCAGTTCTCTTAATAGAAGTGGATAGCATATTTCATGATGACTCCCTTGACATTGTAGTAGGTCGTTGTGTCTGATCACTGTTTTTCAGAACTGATTCTCTTTACAATATTGCTGTTACTGTTTAGGTCCTCTGGGTTCTGCTCACTTTATTTTGCCTCAGTTCATACAGATCTTCCCAGGTTTTTCCGAAACCATGCCCTTCATCATTTCTTATAGCAAAATAGTATTCCATCACATGTTCTGGAGCTGAAATTCAAGCCTATGTCTCTGGACTCCAAATCCAGAACTGTATCTTGCTGCCTTCAGCTGTGAGGGTCATAATGGAATGATCAAAAGAATGTACTAAGAGCCAGTTACATGCCAGACCCCATGCTAGGTAGGTACATGGAGGTCTAAAGATTCAAACAAAACAAAGCTACAGTCTCTGTCCTCAAGTAGTTTACATTCTATAGAGGGAGATAACACACGTGTTCACAAATAAATGCAGGGTGTCCTAAAAGTCTTAGTATCATTTTAAGCTGGTCACTAATGAATTAGTTTGTACTTTAAGGGTTCCTAGGAAGGGAACTAGCATGTGTCTCTTACGTTCAAAAAGACCCAAGTCTATGTCTTCTTTAATTAGTCAACTCTAATTGAAGGAATGGGTTCTAATCTTAGCTCCAGCTTAGACCCATCACTTAACTTGTTTGAGCTTTAATTTGTTCATGTAATAAAAAATTATTGGCTGACTGATTCATAATGTGAGGATAGCAACTCCTGCTCTGCCTGTGTCTTTAGGCTGTTGTGAGTATTTAATAAGATAATCTATGTGAAAGCACTTTGGATCCATGATTTTAACAGTGTGAGTCTTCCCCCCACTAATATAGATTGCCACCCCTTCTATGCCTTAATAGAAAGCTTTTATTAGTTGCCTTGGTAGAAAAATATTCATTCCTTCACGGGCAATGCTCTGGCGATTGTCTGTCTACATTTAACTAGTCTTGTCCCCTGACAACAGGCATGAAGTCTGTTGTTTTCATACTCTGAATCTTTCCCATTTGAGGGAACAGTGTATGGGGGATAGAACACTGCATTTGAAGTCAGAAGACTGGGGTATGAACTCTGGTTCTGCTACTTGCTGTCTGTGTATCCTCAAACAAATTGTCAAAACCACTCTGGGCCTTAGTTTCCTCATCTGTGAAAAGAAGGATCAAAAGAGATAATTTCCATTGTAGCACCTGAAGGATTTGAATCTAGTCTTCCTGGTCCTGAAACTATTTGGGAAGCTCAGGAAAGGAAGACATAGTAGGAAAATGGGCCATTACTCATCAAAGGGTAGGGAGAGAGAGGCAAAATCCAAAGAGAGGCAAGTTTTTTTTTCTATTGATGTCCATCTTCCTTTCACTTACCTACTCTTTCTAGGTGGAATATGGACCCCAGAGTGTAGCATTTGAGCTGGGCCTTGAAGGGAGTTAGAATTTCCATGTTGGGCATGTGGGACCATTACAGATGCTATTTATATTTTCAAAGAAGACTCTAGAAGATTGGTAATGCCTGAATCTAAAAGTCTCTAATGGTAGAATTTCAGACACTTCAACAAGCAGAAGGGGAAGTGGGGGGGAGTATTGCTGGCATTCTTTAAGTACACAGTATATATAGATCTTGCACTTTAAATTATTTTCTCTTTTATTGAGGACTTCAAACATCAAACAACAAGAACATATATATATATATATATATATATACATACATATATCTATGTAAAGAGGATTATACTTAAAACTGTGGACTTCTATTATGTACAGTTTTAAAGAATACATTAAACTTAATATGGTAGCAACAAAACGATATTTTGTCTGTGTCCCCTTCTGTGTGTTTGCTCTCAGTGTATTTTTTCTTTTCTTCTTTTATTTTTATCGCTGTTTCAAATTTTCTCTCTCCCTCCCACCCCTCCCTCACTCATTCAGAAGGCAAGCAAGATGTTATCAATTATACATACGAAATCATGAAAGGTGTATTTTTTATATTAGCTGTGTTGGGGAAAAAAGCAAGAAAAATTAAGTGAAGAAAGTCTGTACTCAAGAGTCCATCAGTTCTCTCTCTAGAGGTGGGTGGTATTTTTCATCATGGGTCCTTTGAAATTGTCTTGCATCATTGTCTTGATCTGAGTAGCTAAGTCTTTCACAGTTGATCATTATTACAGTATTACCATTACTGTGCACAATGTTCTGCTGGTTCTGCTCACTTCATTTTGCATCAGTCTATGTAAGTCTTTCCAGGTTTTTCTGAAACCATCCTGCTCATCATTACTTATAGCACAATAGTGTTTCATCAGAATCATATACCACAGCTTGTTCAGCCATTTCCCAGTTGATGGATGGGCATCCCTTCAGTATTCAGTTCTTTGTCATCACAAAAAAAAGCTGCTATAATTTTTTTTGTAGAAATAAATCTTCTTCCCTTTTCTTTCTCAGTGTATTTTTAATCTTTCATTGATGCTCCTTTTTTCTCTTCTTTTATTTTTGCGTCAATATCACTACTCATTAATTACCCCCCACAACATAGAAGTTCTTCCTTGTAAGCTGTACTTATTAGTCAAACACAACAAATTGACACATTTGTTCACTAACTTGTGTATACCTTGAATACCAAAATTTCTCAGCAAAATTCTGGCTCCTTGCTGAAGATCTTGATAATGAAGTCAAGCATCACTGTTGGCTTCTATTGGAGCATTCTGCCACAAGATGGGAAACATTTCTCCATGAATCTTCTGAAGTCCCGATTAATCATCACATTGATGAAAGCTCTGACATATTTGAAAGTCGCTTGCCTTTACATGATTGTGGTCACTTGCTTCTGCTCACTTCCCATGCTGTATCAGGTCATCCAAATAGCTCCAAATTTCTTTGAAACCACCATATCCCTCATTTCTTACAACACAATAATACTGTTAATTTATGTAACACACTTTATATATCCATTTCCCATTTGATGAGTACCCATTTTATTTCCAGTTCTTTGCTAAAACAAAAAGTGCTGCTATAAACATTTTGGTCCTTTCTCTCTGATTTTAGGGTGTATGCCTAGTAGTAGTACTGCTGAAGTAAAGGGAATACATAGTTTACTGGCCTCTGGGGTACAGTTCCAAAGAGTTTTCCCTAATGTTGGACCAGTTCACAATTCTATTGAAGAGCATTAACAGCCTGTCCTCCCATAGCATTTCTAAAACTTGCCATTTTCCTCTTTTGTTATTTTTTCCAATCTAGTGGATATGAGATGGAACCTCACAGTTTATTTAATTTGCATTGCTCTTAATATTAGTGATTTGGAACATTGTTTTATTTTTCCCATGTGACTAACAATAGCTTATAATTCTTTCCATTCTGTCACCATTTATTTATTGAGATAGGTCTTTTAAGTGCATGAATTCCTTATATACTTTGGATAGCAATATTTTATCAGAATTTGCCGTTGAAGTTATTTTTTTCCCCAGTTAATGGCTTCCCTTCTAATATTTGCTTGTATTTTGCTTGTGCAAGACTTCACTTTGAAGTAATTAAGTTAAATTAAATTAAAATATATCACTTTGATGTAATTAAAATTATTCATTTTATCTTTTATGATCATTTATATCCCTTATTATTAGTTAAGAATCTTCTCTCTACCCATAGTTGTAGCTTTCTTCCTGTCTCTAATTTTTTTATATGATTTTTTATATTTAGGTCACAAATCCATTTGGAGCTTATGCTGGTATATAATGTGAGATGTTGGTCTAAACCCTATTTCTACCAGACTTATTTCAAGTTTTCCCACAGTTTGTGTCAAATCCTAGGAGCTGGCATCTTGGGTTTATCCAACAAAATGTCATTATGTTTGATTGCTTCCGGTCTTGTGCAGCTAACTGGATCCATCTATCAACATTCATTTTTTAACTGGCTGTAAATAGCTTTGATGATATTGTTTCATATTATAGGTTAAGCCTCAAAGCCACTCTGTGAGAAAAGCACTTTTATCATCCCCATTTTACAGATGAGGAAGCTGAGCCAGAGAGGTTAAGTAACTTGCCCAGTGTACCACAACTTGTAAGTATATGAAGTAGAACTCAAACCTAAGTCTTCTTGACTCTAAGTATAGCACTTTATCTACTATGCCAAGCTGCCTCTGCTAATGAACCTTTAGTCAGTTAAGTAATTAATCACTGGCAGGTAGCTGCCTCGGGATATTTGGAGGGTTTTACTCTAAGTGGGTATCAAATGCCACCTCCTCCATGAAGCCATTACTGATTCTCCCAGCTGGTAGTTCCTCCCCCCAATTACCCTCTATTGATTATGTATATGTTTATGTATTTATTTTGTATATTTTCATATGTGACAATGCTGTCTCTCCCGATAGGCTTGAGGGCTGGGACTATAGCACCTGGCATACAACAGGCACTTAATAAATACTCGATGATTGATTGATTTGTAAATACAGTGGTTTATGGAGCGTCTGAGGTTTCCAGAAACACTCGTCCACAAACCTCTTTTCTGAAATCAGCAAAGTCTTGAACCGGAGGGTGGAGTAGGAGGGACTACCATTGTGCAGCTCCTGAGATTCCCAGGTATATCTGCTAGGGGTGGGGGTGGAGGAGGTGGAGTAGGTGATAATTTTAGAAGCTCGTGGAATTAGTCAAACCAGCTTCCCATAGAGGCTAAAACGATTTTTCTCCGAGTCCTTTTTCCTCATCCTATTGAAAAAAAAAAAAGCTTCGATGAGCTGCAGGTGGTGGAGTAATAACAGAGAGAAGGAACCAGGAGATTAATTTTAGCTGCTAATGAGCTGAGCTTTTGTGAAGCAGCAATATAAACCACACATGCCTCTGCAGCCCCAGTAGCCAGAGGCACCCGGCTTTTCAGCTTCAGAAAATCCAGCCAAGGCCCAACCGGAATGGAGGGGGAGGGCCAAGAATATGTGTGAGACTTTGATGCGTTGGAAGTAACTGACAAGAAACCGTAATGTAGGAAATCGGAACAGCTGGGAGCACCTCAAACGCAGCAGATGGGTATGTGGGGAATGCTGTACAGTTTTAATCACATTTAACATTCCTGTCATAAAATTGGGCTCATCAGAGTATTAATTCGTATTTTATAGCATTGTTTGTCGGAGTCCGTCCTTACCCTGCGTAATACCCTGAACGATGGCTAGAAACGAAAATAATCTTTCTCTTATTTCAGCAGTGAACAGCTCTCAAGGGTTGTAACTGTGCCAGGGCTGGTAGTCTAAGAGGGGTAATCATAACCTAAGCTTTTGTCTGGGGACAGAAACAAGGAAGTGTTCTCTACAGCCCCTGCCTGGGCAGGGACAAGCAAATGGAAGAATTCTCCATAATGGCACTTTGTAACAGGTTGGAACAAGGAGGGCACATGGGGGCGGTGGAAGGAGAATGTGACGGCTTTCTAGCTCTGCTTCTCCTTGTCTCTGTGACCTCAATGAAATCAATTCACCTCTCTGGGCTTTTGGTATTTCTTACCTGTAAAAGGCAGGGGTTAAACGAGATAATCTCCAAAGTTGCTTTCAGCTGCAAAGTCTGTAAACATGGCAGCAAATAAGGGAAGCGACCTGTAGACTAGGATCAGATTCTTGGTGGCTGTGCAGTGGTAGGTTTTTTTAATAGTGAATTTAGTGCTTGTAGGAAAGGTGGTGGATGTGCAGCTGTGCAAAATGATATCTTTCCTTTAGCCACACTCTGAGTTGGTGCAATGCAAGCTTGCTGGCAGTCCGGTGTCAATCATTTTCAGCTGTGCTTTCTACAGCCCAACCCTAAGTATAAGGTTTTACATCTTGCATGGTTATCGGAAAACAAAACCAAACCAATTACCAACGATCTACCTGTACATACATTATCCTGATATCTACTGTCCTCAAGGAGTTTACAATCAAATTACTTAGTAGAAAGCTAAGCTAAAATCATATCCTGTCAATGTATGAAGGATGGTGAACATTTTAGAGACTTGCAAACTAATCACTGAATCAACCACTGAGCTAGCATCCCAGAAACCTAGGATGTCAGCATTTTAAGAGACCTTAGAGATCACCTAGTTCAAACTCCCCAATTTTACAGAGAAGACTGAGGCCCAGAAAGATGAAGTGCTTGTTCAAGGCCATACAGACAGTCAAGGCAGAATAAGGACTGAGTAGATTTGAAGCTGAAAGGAATCTTAGAAGTTATCTAGACTAAGTCCAAAATTGTACTGGTAAATATTTAACAATTGGCTTTCAAAAAAAAAACCCAAACATACACATAATGCACTTTAAATGTTTAAAAAATATTTAGCATTTTGCCTTCCCCAATTACATATAAAAACAATTTTTAACATTTGTTTTTAGAATTGAGTTCCAAATTCTCTCCCTTCCTCCTTCCCCACTCCTCTCATTGAGAAGGCAAGCAATTTGATACAGGTTATACATATGTAGTCATGTAAAACATATTTCCATATTAGTCATATTGTAAAAGAAAATATGGACAAAAAAACCCTCAAGAAAAATAAGTAAAAAAAAAGATATGCTTCAATATGTATTCAGGCATTATCAGTTCTTTGCCTAGAGATGGACAGCATTTTTCATCATAGGTCCTTCAGAGTTGTCCTGAATCATTGTATTGCTGAGAATAGCTAACTCATTCACAGCTGATCATCTTTCAATATCACTGTTACTATGTGTGATGTTTTCCTGGTTCTACTCATTCACTTTGCAACAGTTCATGTAAGTCTTTCCAGTTTTTTTTAAGAGCATACTGCTCATCATTTCTTAGAGTACAGTAGTATTCTATCATAATAATATACCACAACTTGTTCAGCCATTCCCCAATTGATGGGCATCCCTAAAATTTCCAATTCTTTGCCACCAGAAAAAAGCTGCTATAAATATTTTTGTACCTATAGGTCCTTTTCCTTTTTGTTTTTATCTCTTTTTGGGATACAGACCTAGTAGTAGTATTGCTAGGTCAAAGGGTATGCATGGTTTTACAGCCCTTTGGGCATAGTTCCAAATTGCTCTACAGAATGGTTGAATCAGTTCACAACTCCATCAACAATGTATTAATGTCTCAATTTTCCCACATCCCCTCTAATATTTGTCATTTTCCTTTTCTGTCCTATTAGCTGATCTAATAGGTGTGAGGTGGTATGTCAGAATTTTTTAATTTGTATTTCTCCAATTAATAGCAATTTAGAGCACTTTTTCCATAAGGCTATAGATAGCTTTGATTACTTCATCTGAAAACTGTTCATATCTTTTGATCATTTATCAACTGAGAAATAGCCCTTAGACAATGCACTTACAAATTTAAATCTCAATTAGTAATATTTTCTCCATCACTTTAAGTCTAGGCAATTAATAAAATAAATCAACCCCTGATTTGTAGTATTTGTCAATTTTGAGGTAGAAATTCGTATGGTGAAAATTTAACATTTGGTTCAAACTGACCCTGGCACACACCTGACTAAATCCCTTTCCCCACCCCCCAACCCCACCCAGTTTGTAGATGAGGATAACAAAGTCCAGATAAGTTAAGGTCATATAAGTAGTATGTAACAAAGTTAAGATTTGAACCCGGGTCTTGGACTTGGAAGCTAGTGCTCTTTCTCCTGTACCATACCAGGAGAGTGAAGTAGTGGGAAGAACAACACATTAGGAATCTAAAAAACTTGCATTTAAATCCCAATTCTGTCACTTATTATCTGTGTCACCTTGGGCAAGTCAATTAATTTGCCTTCAATTTTCTCATCTGCAAAGTGAGGGTGTTGGTATATGATCTTAAAGGTTCCCTTTAAGTTTTAAAATGCTGTGATCCTGTACCTATAACTGGACAGTTTTTTTTAAAAATATCAGATATTAGCCTATCTATAATGGCTTGAGGCTCAGACGCTTGCAGAAGCTCAAAAAGCAGCAGAGGCAATATTTGAACCCAGATCTTCCTGAGACCAGATCCAACACTCAATTCATGACATTACATTGCTTCTCTTGAGAACAAAAAAATTAAAGATTCATTTTTCATATAAGCAAAGGGGAAAAGTGAATAGGAAAGGAGAAAGATTAGGATTGCTTTTGAGTGTTTTTTTTAATTTATATTCTGCAATAACCAAAACATTGCAATCCCATTGTTTCATAAATTGTGATAAGAAATCCATGTAGAAACAGAGAAGATTTTGAAAAAGCATTGTTTAAAAAAAAAGCCTTGTTTTTCAGGATTTACAGCTGGAATAGCTGATATCTCCATTCATTCCTGAACATCTCAACTCAAGACAACTATCAAGAGAGAAAGGAGGACTGTTTGCTTTGTGGACATCAGGCTGCTGGGAATGGGGCTGATTCCTAATAAATGTAACCCAAAGCTACAAAGTTGGGAGATGATAGCAGGGCCACGATGATGCATGTGTGTGCCCTAGGCAAGGTTTGTAAATTGTGCCACTTGTGGGTTTCTGCCTACTGGGGATTTTGAGCCTTCTCTATAACACTTATAATTGGACTCGTCAGAAAAAGAAATGTCCAGGTGCCATGGAATATGGAATAAACTATTTGTATGTAGCCTACTTTTTAGAGCTTTGCCAGAAGAACTCGGAGATAGAGCAAAGGCAAACAGGGACAGGGCAAGGTGAATGGCAAAATGTCTGAAGATGTTGATAGGCTATGAATGGGAGACATGGTCAGCAGTCAGATATAGTCCTTTAAGTGAGTTTCAACTTGCTCATTGGCCAAATGAGCTCAGTTTCAGGACATAAAAGCTGTGCTATGGCAGAAATCCTTTCAGCATAGGTTACTATGCTTGTCCTTGATATGGAATCAAGCTAAGATTTAAGAACTCTGTTAAGTGCCATGTCAAACCTTAACCATTTTCAGGACTGAAGATGAAAAATGGCAGAGGAATGATGAGCTAGAGGTGAAGAATGGGACATAACATTTTTAGTCATGGCTAATGTGTGGATTTGTTTTTCTTGATGATTTTTTATTATAAGGGGTAGGTTTTAAAACATTATGAGGAGCAAGGAAATAATGAGAGTGGAGCAGAAAAAAAAAAGCTTGATAAGAGCATCAATGGAGCATTCAAAAGAGTTTATAGAAGAGAACAGAATAGAATTTGGACAGAAGGAAATACTGACAAGTAGGACAACTTTGGAATGAATATATTGAATTATATGGTTTGAAAAAGAATATGCTGAACATAATAGAGACACAATGTTTCATGTACAATCTTCTTTCTATTCTATCTATGTGGGAATACTCACAGTTGTTGGTGTTTAATTTCAGAAAAACTAGAAAATTTTTTTAAAATGTCAAGCCCCCAAGCATTCCTGCTCAACAGATAGCATCCCACACTGGGCTGCTTGATTGCAGTTCAGCTTATCATTCATTATCAATGGCTCAGAACTTCTCTCCTTGTTCTGTGCATCTCGGGATACCCCACTGCTGCTAGGTAACTGGGCAGTGCCACTGTAGACTCGGCTCATCTCCTTTGGTAAACAATTTAACTTCTCCGAGCTTGGGGGAGATTTCAGACTTTACCAGAGTTCCTTGGGCCTTGACCTTGAAGGGGCCACTGTGGGTTAGAGAGGTAGAAGCCGAGCAAGGGAGATGCAGAAAAGCAGAGAGGAATGGAGCTGCCAGTGAGACCGCCTTGGAGACATCTCCCCCTTCCCCCAGCTCTCTGGAGGAACTGAAATCAGCTCTCTTCATCTCCAACTCCTTTTCTCCCTTTCTTTACCCATTTTCTAATGAGAAATGAACTGGAGAAGGAAATGGCAAACCACTCCAGTATCCCTACCAAGAAAACCCCAAATGGGGTCAACAAAGAGTCAGATATGAGTGAAATGACCAAAAAAAAAAAAAGAACTGGATAGGGAGAAGTCATCTCTACTTCTCCTACCTCCCTTCTCTCATCTTGTGGAGACATATTGTGACCACTTAAAAAACTGGTAGTTCTGAAAATAGAATTATTTTAAATGTTTCTCAGTGTATGTGACAATGTATTAAAATCTGGATGGCCGTTTGAATCTGTGCTCATTCTGCTTACTTGTAGGCTAGCAATGAGACTGGGAACAGATGGAGGACAAAATCTGGAAGGGGAACATTTAAAATACTGAAGTTTAAAATCCCCAAATTTGGATTTGTCAGCATAAACCAGCTGGGGACCTGAGCTTTATGTTGAATTGAGAGTAAAGTGCATTAAAGGGGTAAAAAGAATATCATTCTATTTTTCTTTATTTCTATTGCATCATGTCTTCTCCAGCATATTGACCTCTCCATCATCCCCACTCACTCACTAATCTACATACAGTCTCTCCTAGTCTACTGTCTGCTTCCCTGCTGCCTACAAACATGCCCATGTCTCTACTATTCTCAAAAGATTTCACTTGATCCATTTTTCTATGCTGCCTGTCTTCCTAATTCCCCTGCTTTTTGTGGCTAGGATTCTTGATAAGGCTGCCTATGATCAGTGTCTCCACTTCATTTTCTGAACTCTCTATAGTCTGCTTTCTGACTTGATCATTCAGCTGAAACTGCTCTCTCTAAAGTTATCAGTGATCTTTTCATTGCCAAATTTAATAGCCTTTTCTTGCTCCTCATCCTTCTTGACTTCTCATCAGCCTTTGACACTGTCCATTGCCCGCTTCTCCTTAATACTCTCTTTTCTATAGCTTTTCCTGACATTTTTCTCTCTCCTGGTACTCCTACTTATCTGACTGCTCCTACTCCAGACTCCTTTGCTAGATAATCTTCTAGATCATGCCCATAACATGGATGTCACCCCAGGCTCTGTCCTGGGCCCTCTTTTCTCCCTCTATTTCATTTGGTTATCTCTTTGGATTTGATTATCATCTTTAGAGCAGGTGATTCTCAGATCTATTTATTCAACCTTAACCCTTCCTCTGGAGCCCCAGACTTGCATCTCCAACTGCCCATTAGACATATTGAATTAGATGTCCTGTAGACATCTTCAACTTAGCACATCCAAAACTGAATTCATTATCTTTCTCCTAAACCTTCCCCAACTTCCCTATTACTAAGGGCCCCATCCCTCAGGATTGAATAGTGTCGTCCTTGACATATCACTATCTCGCACCATCTTGTCCCACCTCCCACCCAATCTGGTGCTAAGGCCTGTTCATCTTTGAAATATGTCTTGAATATGCCCCCTTCTCTCTCCTGATATTGCCACCACCCTGGTATCATCTCATGCCCTTCCTGTAATAGCCTGTTGGTTTGTCTGCCTGCCACAAATTTCTCCCCACTCCAGTCCTTCCTTCATTCAGCTGCCAAAGTGATTTTCTTAAAGCTCAGGTCTGACCATGTTACTCCCCTACTCAGTCATCAGTGGCTCCCTGTCACCTCTAGGTTCAAATAAAAAAAAATCCTGTTTGACTTTTAAAGTCCTACATAATCTGGCCCCTTCTTACCTTTACAGCCTTCTTACACCTTCTCCCCTTCTACCTGCTCTATGACACAGTAACATTGGTGTCCTCATTGTTCCTTTCACGGGACACTCCATTTCTATACTCCATTCATTTCCACTGGCTGTTTTTTCATGACTGGAATATTCTGCTTCCTCATCTCATGGCTTCCCTGACATCCTTCAGGTAAAAGCTAAGATTCTGCCTTTTGCAAGAAGTCTTTCCTGATTCCTGTTAATTCTAGTCTCTTCCTTCTAAGATTATCTCCAATTTATCCTGCATATATGTTGTTTTACAGTTATTTGCATGTTATCTCCTCTTTTTGGACTGTTAACTTCTTGAGAATAAGGTCTATATTTTGCCTTTCTTTGTATCCCCAGCACTTAGCATAGTACCTGGTACATAATGAACACTTAATAAATGTTTGCTAAAGGCAGCTAGGTGGTATAGTAGATAGAGGTCCAGGCGTGGAGTTAGGAGGACCTAAGTTCAAATAGGCCTCAAATATTTAGTAGCTGTGTGACCCTGGGCAAGTTGCCTAACCCTGTTTGCCTCAATTTCTCATCTATAACACGAGCTGGAGATGGAAATGACGAACTACTCCAGTACATTTGCCAAAAAACCAAACAAACAAAACAACCAAAACCCAAATGGGGTCACAGAAGGTTGGACGTGACTGAAAAGACTCAGCAGCAGCAAGCTGACTGACCGAACTTGGAATCAGATGCCTCTTGAGACGAGCTGATAAGCTTCAGAGTCTTCCCAGAGTCAGGTATATTGGTAGGCTATGTGGGAAAGGCAAACCATGCCTGTAGGGAGGGAGCTGAAAGGAAGCCGCACCTTCCCAAAGTGAGGAGAAGGAAGGGAGTTTCTCCTCTTCCCCTACCCCACTCAGCATAGTGACAGCTCAAACTACCTTGCTTTGCATTGCTACCTGCTGCCTGTATGTACGTTTACACAAAATCATATTTAAAAGAGTCTGATGTTATTCTCCCACCTCTGCTTGTGAGTTCTAGGTGGCTGCCTGCCTTGCTTACTCCTAGTCCTGTCTTTGGATAATAGTGATACTAGACTGTTAATCCTTTAGGCAGTGGAATTTGAATCAGAGCCATGGAAGTAAAAGCTTCTGGATTCCATTACCCATCCCCTGGAGCATCAAATCTATCTGGTTTCTGTTTTTATCTATGACACAAAAGGAGGGGAGGAGCAGCAGCTTGGGGTATTTTCAGTCTACTCACTCAGGATCTCAGTCATCTCATTTAACCTATCCACCCAGAAGGAGGAGAAGGATAAGATCCAAAGAGAATAAAGTATACCATTGTGTACTGGAATCCCAGGGTTCACAGAGGTAGCAGCTGGTATGAAAACTATTGTTTTAAAAAAACATTATTTTCCATGTAAAAGACAAATGACATTTCATTTGTTCTTTCTTCTTAGAGTGATGTATTTCCTAAATGATCATACTTTCATTCTCTTAGCCATTTAGCCTTGGTGTTTTACCCCATTAAGAAACCAGGGGAATTGAACATTGGAAGCAGCTGAAAGTAGCTATGGAAATGGCCTTAGGAACTGAGCCAGTCTTGCTCCAACTCTTTGGCTCCTTACATGCATCAGATAAAAGCAGAGAGACAGAAAAACTTTTGGACCAGTATTTGTAAGTTTGCTCCCCTTTGCTTTTGTTGCAGAGCTGATTCTCCTAGAAAGAGAGAGAGACAGACAGACAACACATGAAGGCCTCTTTGATTTGGAGCACAGTGGCTTTGGAAAGCTGTTGGCTTTGGAAAGCTGTTGTTCCCTGTGTGGCCCTTCCTGTGTTCCTCTGTGCTGCCTGTGCCCATGGCAAAATTTGGTGGTTTGGACTACGTAAAGAGCTGTCCAAGGTCTTGGGCATGAAGAGCAAAACAAACAAACAAAAAATGGCCGTGATGGATCTGTGTCATAAGATCAATGCCATTCATTCTTTGACGACACTTCCTCATACCTTGTTCTCTCCAGTATCCCTGTACAGAGGTCAAAGGATGCTGGCAGTCAGAGACCAAGGGAATCATACATTTATTTTGCCTTTCTCTGAAGTCCTATAGACTTACATGATCTAGCATTGTCTTTGTTGTTTTTCTTATCAAAACATATAATTCTCCTGAGGAGATAGAAGTTCTTCATAGGTAAGTAGGGCATAAGTCATTCAAATTTGAGTTTAGAATGGTGCTGGATGCACAGACCTTAATAAATATTCAGTAAATTGATCTTTGGCAAGAAATGCCTTTTTAAGTTGCTTGGCATTATCCCCGACGGCCTTGTCCTTTGAAAGAAAGCCTAACCACAGTGACTGGAGAGTTAGCCTTGAACACAGGGAGAACTGCATTCAAGTTATGACTCTGACATGTATTATTTGTGTGACCCTGGGAAAGTCATTGAACCTTTATAGTCTCTAAGACTGTAAGTTGCAGAGAAGGTGCCAACTTGCAATGGAGTTTCACATGGCCAGTCTGCATCCCTATCCCACCTTCTCATTCACTGCAGTTTCTGATGAATAACTGGTCCTTCTTATCAAGGTCAATCACTGTACGTAGTGGGCTTCTATAACACCTGCTAAATCCCAATTGCTCTAAATATACCTAAAATGAAGAAGTACCGCAACAGGTAGACAAGGCTGAAAGGGGAAAAATTCCAGAAAAACAAAATTGTTGATTTAGAGATATGTAACCAAGTTAAGAAATCCCTGTTTAGACAACTGCCTGAGTTACCCCTGGGTTGATGTGACATCAAGAATTGCAAAAAGGAGGGTAGTTGTTCTTCTGATCTAGCAAAGCTCTCAGAATTCCCTTAGGCTACTGTTATCAGGACCCAAGATGAGCTTCTGTAGGGGACAGATTGAGGCCAGGGGAGCCTGTTCACTGACATTGACATCCAACTGAAATTGTTATCAGGTTCATCCTGTAGGCTTAATCAATAATGTTCTTGTATCCTTTGAAGATCTTAGTAAAGGTATAATTAGCACTATTGTATTCTGATTATGTTCATTCTTTGACAGATCCCAGACATAAGGCTACTTGGGGCTAACTTAACATGTGCCTTTGATCCCATTCCATTTTATTTCTCTGGTAGATTGTTCTTACATTATCCCTCCTCCCTCTCCAATCTTCAATCTCTTTCTGCCGACTGGTTTACCTAGCTATTGGTGGATCTCAAGGCTCAGTTCTGGACCATTTTTTCCTTCAGTGACCTTATCAGTACCCTTGGATTCAATTATCATCTCTATATTAGATTCTTGGATCTATTTATTTAGCCTCAGTCTCTCTCTCCAGTTCTATGTTACCAAACATTGACGTTCAGAAGTAAATATTTCATAGGTATCTCAGATCAAACACTTCTTTTTTCCAATTTGTTCATTTATTTTTTAGTTTCCAACATTCATGTCCACAGGATTTTGAGTTCCAAATTTTCTCCCTATCCTACCCCCTCCTCCCACCCCATGACAGCATGCATTCTGATTACCCCTTCCCCGCAACCTACTCTACCTTCTATCATCCCCCCTTCTCTTATCCCCTTCCCTTTCTTTTTTCCTGTAGGGTAAGATAAATTTCTATACCCCATTGCATGTGTATATTATTTCCCAGTTGCATATAGAAACAATTTTTAATATTTAATTTAAAATTTTGAGTTCCAAATTCTTTCCCCTCCTCCCTCCCCGCCCATTTTCATTGAGAAGGCAAGCAATTTGATATAGGTAATACATGTGTAGTCATGCAAAACACTTCCATAATAGTCATGTTG